ATGAATCATTATCCATTCATTAGTGCAGAAAGTAAAGTTAAGCATGAAAATTACATGTTTACAGTTTTAATGGTCATTCTATTCATCAAATTTTAGTTATTCAGCACAAAACGTATAATTCATAAATTGAATGAAGGAGGTGGAAGTGCTTCTGTCAAGGCCTGAACGCCATTATGACACACGGACGCTTCCCCTCGACGTCATTTGAGCAGCACGCCGTCTATCAGATACCGAGCGAACACATGCGAAGCTCCAGGGACAGGTCTCTGAAACAAAACAGAGCGCAGTGGAAACCGGCGCAGCTCAGGGCGTGGCGTTCTCAGGAAGATTAAGACAACAACGCACATAGGCATGTTCCAACGCAGCAGCCTGTCCAACCAGTCCTGCCCCGGCCCTGCCTGCAGCCGACGCGACACGCCTGTGGCTCTGAACAGGAGTGAGTGGGTTGGTAAAGACATCATTTATAGTGACTGAATAAACTTGCCATTTTAGGATTTGTGAGTCAAGAGTCAAATGTCTATGAGCAACAGTTGTGCGGTAACAGATGTATGTTCCTGTTTTCACATTTTGGGCTATATCCCCCTTTTGTTGTTGTTGTTGTTGTTGTTTTTTTTTCTGGGTAATTCCACTCATTGTCAGAAACTAAACCGGGTCTAAACTAGATCTTTACCAGGCTTAAACCAGGACTAAAACCAGGTCTAAACTAGATCTAAAACAGGTCTAATTCCAGGTCTAAACTAGATCTAAACTAGATCTAAACCAGGACTAAACCAGAACTAAAACCAGGTCTAAATTAGATCTAAACTAGATCTAAACCAGGTCTAAAACAGGTCTAAACCAGGACTAAACTAGATCTAAACTAGATGTAAACCAGGTCAAAAACCAGGTCTAAACCAGGACTAAACCAGGACTAAAACCAGGTCTAAACTAGATCTAAACCAGGTCTAAACGAGGACTAAAACCAGGTCTAAACTAGATCTAAACCAGGACTAAGACAGAACTAAAACCAGGTCTAAACTAGATCTAAACCAGGTCTAAACCAGGTCTAAAACCAGGTCTAAACTAGATCTAAACCAGGTCTAAACTAGATCTAAACCAGGTCTAAACCAGGTCTAAAACCAGGTCTAAACTAGATCTAAACCAGGACTAAACCAGAACTAAAACCAGGTCTAAACTAGATCTAAACCAGGTCTAAACCAGGTCTAAACCAGATCTAAACCAGGTCTAAAACCAGGACTAAACCAGGACTAAATAATACTGCGTGGACGTGTCTTGTCTTATAATATTTTTTAATAGGGTTAAGTAAAGTCTGGGTTTTTTATTTTCTTTTATCAGACAAAACTTCTTAAGTTACGATATCCTGGTCTTTGCTTCTCTACAGCAAATCAAGTAATCCAAAGTATTCAGATTACGTTACTCACCTTAAATAACTTAATGGATTACGTTACAAACTACATTTTGGGGTATGTAATCTGTAATCTGTAGGGGAATACATTTTAAAAGTCACCTTCCCGACACTGCCAGTGTAAACATATTTACTGTTATAATTGTCTGGCACCGGTTTCACTCAGCACTTTTCCATTGTAGCTGACATTCCTCTCTCAGGTGCATCCTCTCATTGTTCGTTCCTCCCCTCAAACCCCAGCGGGACTGCCTCACGCTCTCTCTCTCTTTCTCTCTTTCTCTGTCTCTTCTACCTGACCTGCTCTCTTCTTTAATTTTCCCATTCTCTTGCAGGAGAATAAACCACACAAGACAACTGTTTGACCCAAGACCTCTTATTTCCTTCTCACCCAAATATTTCCACACTGATCTTGATGTCAGAAGTGGAAGTTTGATCGTCCAGGACCAGCGGTGCATGGACTTGATTGTTTTCTTTATGAAAATGACATTGGAAAAGGAGGAGCGGCTCCGTGCTGCTGGGCTACAGCTGCAGGAGCCAACAAACTCAAATTTACAATGTGACACGGTGCTGCAAACCCAAAAGAAACTACAAGTCAGTGCCATGTTTGCTAAGGGTTTATGTTAAGTCGTTTGTCTTTTTGAACCTGATGATCGATCGTCCCATTTTGCGGTGACTGTGAGTGTTTGTGTGTCTGCTCGTCCTGAGGGGAACTTAGGCGGGTTTAGGTTAATTGAATAACCTAGTAGCTACTGTGGGATTTTTTTATGTTTTATTCATGTTAGTTCACCATGCAATATAGAAGTCACTGAGTTCCTTGATGTGTATGTTTCTGAGACTGTGGAGTGTCAGTGGGGTTGGCATATGGTGTCATATGTACTGTTGCTGTACATGGGACAGATAAGGGATGTGTCTAAACCTTGAGCATATGCCAATCTATGATAAACACGTGTTGGGTCAAAATTGCTGTGTATGTTTCTGCTGAAAATGCTAACTCAACAAGTTATAAATGCACCTGCTTTCTGTGAATGGTCAGAACGGGGGACGTCGTCTAAGCGGCGTTGTCGAGGGACGACGACGCAAAGAGACGCCGTGTGGCTGAATCATGTAAAATCGACTTGAATCGGAGACCTGTACCTGCCTGAACCAATAAAGAGACATGTCTGAGAACTGTTTTAACTCTCCAAGACTCTTTTTTAAGATTCTCTGTTGAGGTTGCCTCCAGGAGAAGCTGACAGTGTGCACAAAGGTGATTATGGAGACATTTTGGTACTTGACTACAGTAATAACCCTGTATGTGTGAATGTGAATGGCTGAATGTACCAGTGTCTTGTTCATGGAACTAACAATTGCAACTAAATTTCATTATTTTCTAGACCAATGTAAATTAGAAAACAATGTACTGCATTTTAAATGTTTATGGATTTTGGTGTGTTAAATGTGAACGGGTATTCAACAGGTCAATTTAAGGATCATGTGGCTCCAGGACAATAGATTTGTATGGAAATTGAGCCTGGAAGTGACAAAAGGCAATTTGAGATTTCAGAAACCACGACGATGCAGAAGCAACTAACTGACTAAATGAGAACCAAATATACTGCAACTTTAGCACTGTCAGACAGGCATGTTTCACCTTTTACTGAGCTAAACTTTAGTCCTGTCTAATTCCTCTGCCTGACTATTGCATTCTAAGTAGATTCTACATAATAGGAACTTGAAATATTTTAACCCCTTTTTAACAATGTGTTCCCATTTTCCAAGTAATTATTCTTTTTACACATGAAAGCGAACAAAAATATCTGTAAAAAGCACTAATTCATGACCTCCTCCTGCACAGTCTTCTGTTGTTTCAATAAAAACTATGTGATATTCAATTTCTATATTTTTGACTCTTGTTTATTGATTGTATCTATTCACCACAAATTTCACACAGTTTTTATTTTTTATTCAGCTTGTGCAAATTAAAATATTCATTCTTCATTTTTATTTAAAGGTGCTGTACCTGACTATCTAACTTTTTTTGTTGTTGCTCAAATGCATGGGAAAATTGGGTACAGCTACTTTAAGTACAATTTTTAAGTATACTTTACATTTACATTTATCTGCACTTTCTACTCCACCACATTTTAGATCTGGACTGAAAAGTAAAAAGTATTTGTGAGACCTGCTGAAATGGCAAAGACTTTATTTTTTATGCATTTAATTTGAGTTAACGTCACAACTTTGAGCAACACAATACACAAAGTGGCTAGAAAAGTTAAGAAATCAACTCGATCTGTTTCATCCTTTAATTGTTTGAAAAATCTCTGCAAAATAAATTTTTAAACATGTACTTCAATACTTTTACTTAAGTCGATTTTTTCACTACTTTTGCTACTTTTACTTTTACTTAAACTCTTTTGTTTTACTTATGTAACAAAACTAAGTACTTCATCCGTACTCAGGTATTCAGACATACTAAAAATAAATTGTGATTGTGTAACCAGTTCTGAGAATCAAAAACACCAACACCAATCAAAAACACCATATAACAGAAAGATTTCTAATACAATCTGAAATCATACGTACAATAAGATCTCAGTGCCGCTTTTTACTGCACCTTTTACTCAAAATATCTATAAATATCACAAGATGTACTCCGCGGTGGAATGTAACAAAGTAAAAGTAGTAAAGTACAGTACTTAAGTAACAATATTAGGTATCTGTACTTTTCACTCTTACTTCAGTTCATTTAAGCACAGGTATATGTACTTTCTACTGCATTACATTTTTAACAGGACTGAAAAGTGAAAGAGTTTTTATTATATTTGGAGACCTGAGAGTTTACTTTGAACACATTCATAATTTGAACAAACAAAAATATACAAATGAAAACTGCAAAGGAAAAAAGAAACTGATTCAGTTGTTTCTGCTGAACAAAATTCAGCACAAATCTTTATCATTGTGAAATACTTTTACTTTCTACTCTTTAAGTATATTTCTAAATGGGTACTTTGATCATTTTACTTGAGAAGATTTTTTTTAAAGTAGATAATTTCATGTGATACGTTTATGGTTTGAAAAATCTACATTTACTACAGCACTAGTGTAGAAGAATATCTCTACAGGATGTGCAGCAGGTAATTTTCAATGCATAGAACGCTCTAACAACAGGCCACTAACTAAAACTAAACATGGATTAAAACTCATCAGCAATGGCGAGGCGATGACAAAAACATATGACATCAACCCTTGTCTCATCTAGTGGTGCTGCTGATGAGAGAAACCACCACTGAAACCTCCAGATCAAAAGGGGTCCGGCTCAGAGACTGAACTGTTGAACTGTTGCAGCCCATGAGGCGCCTGACAGGAGAAAATAAAAGCCCATCCAGTTTCAGTCAGCACTTTTCCGTTGATGACCTGTGACTGCACTGCACTGCACTGTCTGTATAAAACCCAGTGTGGGACAGACCCTCGCTCTCTCTCTCTCTCTTCTACCTGACCCACTCTCTTCTCTAATTTGCTCCTTCTCTTGCAAGAGAATAAACCACACAAAGGAAATTGTTTGACTCAAGACCTTATTTTGTTCTCACCCAAATATTTTCACAACACCAGTTACTTACAATGCATATTTTTATTAGTAAAAAAAAACTATTTACAATGACATCATGAATGAAACAACAATTAAAAACATATATTACATTAAACAAACAAACATTCTTTTCCTGTGCAGTGTAAAGGTAAAAAGTCAGTGCAAAACTTATAAGCAGTAAAGTCCATTGATAGTTAAGGCCCGCGCTTCCATCAGTGCTGTTAGCAAAGGGGAACATAAAGCTGCTGACATTCACAAGTGAACACGTTTGATCAGCGTACATCCACAGTCTTTACTTTAATCCTCACAGGTTTGTCTGAACGACCTTTCTGGTCTCCTGAATCACCACCCTCCTGGAGGTAGAGGGCGTGGTGTTTCCTGTGAGGTTTCCAGTGCTACTAGAGCTGCTCTTGTTGAGGGTCCTTAGGGACCCTGAGAGTCCAGTTGAAAGGCTGCTCTTGGCCCCAGGCTGCTGGCCCTGAGCTGAATTAGAGCCCACCACCAGGAGGGTCTGAGAGCCGGAGAGTCCTGTCTTCACCAGGTTCTGGTTGGTCTTCAGCACCTGTTTGGCACCTGACAGGCCCTTCCCATCCACCAGCACCATGGTCTGAGAGCCGGAGAGAGAGGCCCCTGGCCCGTGTGCATTCTCCACCAGCACCATACCAGGGACCTGAGTCTGCCCCACAGCCTGGCCCTGCATCACAGTCTGCCCCTGCATCACCAGGCCTTGGGCGGGGACGCTCTGGGGGCCGTTCACCAGCATCACATTCTGCACGTTGGTCCCAGGGGCCTCCCTGAGTAGCACCGTGTTCTGGACCGGATTCTGGACCATGTAGAGATTCGGCTGTAGAACTGGAGCCGTGGTGTAATAGAGCTGAGGCTGAGGCTGCTGCTGCAGGAGCAGCACCTGGCCCTGAGGAGCTTGAGGGGCCTGAGGGGCCGGGCCCCTGGACACCTCCTGGCTGACATCTTTGATTGTGACGGTCTGAGTGCTCTCAGAGCTCTCTTGCACCTTACTGCTGCTGCTGCTGCTGACCTCTGCTTTGGGAATGGAACGTGGTTTGGGCACAGGTTGTGGTAGGGGCCCCGGAGCCAACACACTGGAAACTGCTGTGTGAGAGTTGATGGAGGTGCTGATGGAGGTGGTAGGAGGAGCAGGGGCCCTCACTTCAGCCAGGGTCTTGCCTTCACAGATTTCAGCCAGAGTCTTAAACTTGAAGTCCAGGTCATTGAGGAAGTGCAGGTCGTTGTCCACAGCCAGATTGTCACAGGAGCCCAAGGAGCCAGCACAGGAGCCCTGGCCCTCATAGTCATACACCAGGAGATTTTCCTTCCCAGCCAGAGCATCAGAGGTCTGCGCCTTCTGTGGGACACAGAGACTCAGGTTAAAACACTTTCATGTCATAAATGTGTTCATAAACAGTGTTAGTGACACTCACCTGGTTGTAGTACTGTCCCAGGTAGTGGTAAGGTAGAGCCATGCCGTCAAAGATCCCACCCTCTCTCTCTCTGCTCATGTACTCAGACTGAAATCCACTGCCTCCCATCTGGTTCATGCTCCACGTGCCATCCATATGACTCATCTCCTTCCAGGTACCGTCCATCTGACTGGCTCCTTGGCCCTGGTAGAACTCATTAGTTGTCTGGGTCCAGCCCTTATACCCAGTGTGCGTATTTCCACCCACTTCTGATTGCATGTTGATCAGTGGAACCTCCTAAGACAACGGACAGACACTTGTTCATCTTGTGCATTGTTTAAGTATATTTATTTGATTCATTAAATAAATATGGTGATATGATGTAATCCATTAATTCTGCTCTTACCGTGTTCTCTCCTTGGCCCTCCGTGTGGTAGTTGATGAGATGAGATTTAGTATCAAATGGCATCTCTGCAAAAGCTCCTGACGATCCCATAATTCCTCCACAGAAGCAGAAAAGGGCCAAAAGAGGGATCACTGCAAAACAAAACAAACAAAAAAGATTTATAACATTTATTTGACACAGCAACCACTACTAAGCAATTATCTTAGCACTGATGTCAACTATCAACACTTGTCTACAGTTCTGTTATGATGTTATGATACTACAGACCGTCTCATTTCATACTGTATAGACTCATGGCACATAGAGTGAAGCTTTCAAACTGCTTCATGATATTCTTTTTTTTTTAGATATTTGAATGAATAATGCATAAAATTGTGTGACTTTGAGAATCTGCAAAAGCAAAAGACTAATGCAAAATACAAATTAAGTCTAAGACTTCTAATGGGATAATAAAACAGCAAAACATTGTCAGAAGAGTTTAAACAAAAAAAAATCTAAACAGAAAATGTTATGAACTAGGGATGTAAAAATAACCGAAATATCGTGATATCGTATCGTCAAAGTTCTCACAATAATATCGTGGACCATCACAATATATTGAATTACAAGTCTCTTTGCTTAAATTAAGAGTTCTGGTGCAGCAATAGCTAAAAAAAAAGAAAGACTACATAGGAACAACATAGACCATGCTCCATTTCAGTGCAGACTACAAGAAGAAATAACAGTTCTAAGCACTTTTAAGTCTTAGTTCTTTGGATTAAGTCTTGTCAAGACATTTTAAGAGGAAAAAGTAGCATATTAACAGTTTTGTTCAATAAATATCGTACAGTGAAATGTGTATTGTGAAAACCGAGAGATTTGGATATTGTTACATCCCTAATCGTGATCCTCCCCATGATATCGTACCGTGACAATATTGTATCGTAAGACTTGGATATCGTTACATCCCTAATTATGAACTAATAAAATGGAAAATTATATATCAAACTGTACTCACACAGAAGTAAAAGCAGTCCCAGGAACAGCAGTCCGATTCCAGCCGGACCAAACTCCACTTCTTTCTCTGGCTGACCTCTCCCTCCTCGTTTACCGCACTTGAAGCCGTCCTCACACGTGCACACTTGGACCTGGACTCTCTGTGGCTCGGGACAGGACTTCCCCTGCTGGTCAGTCACGATAAACTCCACCTGATACACGCCAGGCCAAAGGGACTCCTCTCTCCTCAGTATCCGGCCTGTGTCTGTTAAGAGCAGAAACATAAATCCAGGTTAATAATCAGATAACGTGCGACTCTAGCTTATTAACCATCTTACTCATTTTTTAGAACTGATTATTCACATTTCTCTTTGTTATTATAATATATTGTGATGTGTGAGCTACTGTGTTTAAGTCATTTCCCTTGTGGATCAATAAAGCTGGTCTAAATTTAAGAGTAATATGTGTATAGTACTAGAAATGCAATGAAAAAAATGTGGATGAGGATGCTTTGTCACTTTAAAAAAAAATAATGACATTGTAAATTTTCTGACTGTACCCATTTGTGATAATTCATACTTGAGCTTTACCAGTAGGGCTGGGTATCATTCAGAAGTTGCCGAAACGATACATATCTCGATACACAGACGACGATATGGTGCACGTTTGATTCGATATGATCTATTTCAAATCGATTTGATGCGGTTCAATAGAAAATAAAGTCTAAATCATGGCTGTGATACTAAAAGTCTTTGTTAAACCACTTCTTGTGCAAAGTTAGTATGAAACACAAAATTTTAAACTTCAAAACAGTGAAAATGTCAAATATGTCAAATAATAAGTTTCCTTCGTTTGAACAAACAACAAAACTGTAGCTGTAACAAAATAACTTAGTAAAATAAACCAAAAAATACTCTTGACGATATATCTATACAGCAGCCCACGATATCGATACTGCAACATCACATTAAATGCTTATTTTTGCACACCTTTAGTTTTAGTCAAGCCTTTTCATTTTGAGTGTGCATAATTGTACACATAACTCAACAATAGGGCTGAAGGATTTTGAAAATATCAAATTGTGATTTTTCAGACAAACACTGCAATTTGATTTGTGATTTTGTTTAATAATAGGATTCTGTTCAAAGTTCAGATTTGAAACACATCCAAAAGTAGTGACAAAAAGACTGAAATATGGACTGACAAAACTAATACTGATAATATTTGTAGATCTAAACTACAGGGTTAACCGTTTTATGGAGTATAAGACAGGGGGTTTTGTTGCTTGTCGAGGAAACGTCTCAAGTTCAAAAATTGCAGCCTTTGCGATTTGTCAGGTGCCTCCATTCGAATTGCGATTTTGTTTTGATTGATTCAGTCCAGCTTGACAACGCGATGTGTAAATTTTCTGGTGGATCTTATTGTTTTGTCTGAAATGTCCCAGTATCTCATTAAATCTTGCTTTTACTCAATAACATGGGTTTTTAATTACCTAAAAAATTCATTTTAAAAAATCTTAGTGTGAGTGGGCTCTTCTTTCCACAGATCTAATAAAAAAAAAGTAAAAAAGTAATGCCATACAACATTCCAGGCAATATTTCCATGGACCCTCCACCAGAAAAGTTACACAGTGCACACCTTTAAATATGAATAACTTAATTTTTTTCTTGTAGTGTAATACATTGTCCGAGTGTTAGCAGGCCTGTCGGCAAAAATATGGGAACCCGGCGCAAAAAGCCTCACACGGGCCCCCTTTTAATATACAGTAATAGGAAGAGGGTCCAATTCTGGGCTCCTACAACCCAGATCCTGAATCAACTTTGCCCTTTGTCCTATCTTCTCTACTGCTCTGAGTGTACGAATGTAAAAGGATTTTCTCCAAACCCTCCTTTTATTTTTAAGTTTACTGGAAATGAATGTGTAACAAATGCTCCCTTGCTCAAAATGTAAAAAATGATGCTAATTTTTTTTATTTTTTTTGTCTGTGTGTGATGTGTTCCTTACCGTTCAGATGCTGCACCTGCCACTTTCCCTGCGTGTTCTCCGGGACGATGGTGAAGTGGAATGGCGGTCCGTTGGGAAAGGCGTCCCGGTCTTGAGCGTTGATCAGGATGGCGTCATCGGTCAGGCACAGGGTCTGCGCGGTGCTGGTCAGAGTGGGACAGTGGTCGTTGAAGTCCTCCACCTGGATGGCGATGGTTCCAGTGGCTGTTTTAGCCGGCATGTCTGTTTGGAAGAAGAAAATGGGTTATGTATGTAAACAATGAAATTAAAACCTACTTTAATTACACTTTTTACAGTCTTAAAAACATGAAAAGCAGAAGTGGTTCATTTTAAACATAGACTGAATAAAGAGGTTGACGAAAGGAGTGTCCTTGTATTCAGCTCCAGTCAAATGAAGCTCACGAGGCTAGCAGTTATAGGAACAAATTTCCCAAAGCAGGATTAGGAATTTACAGACAAAATAGCGAAATAAAACACAACGATTTTACATTTCATGACCAAAATGACGACGTTCACTGCAGCAGTTACAAAGACAGGGGTGACAATTTTTCTAGCCTGCTACCGTGATTCATCATCCGGTTTCACTTTGTGGAAACCGTCTGACCTCGCAGCATTATGATTCGTTCACTCGACGGTAGGTGGGTACTTTTTTATTTAACCAATCACTGCTATTTGACGTATGTAATGAGCCGCTAATGGAGTTAACTGGTATATTCAGCTTTTCCCAAATCCCGTAGGAAGAAGGGCAATAACGTTTTTCCCCTTGATAAAATTCACCAAACATTCCCTTTGTTCCAACTTTAAATCCTCGATCTCGGGAATTGTTACCAACACAGAATATATGGCTCTTTGCCGACTGGCTGGTGCCCGAACTCGCACTTTCAGGGTTCTTGCAAATCGTCTAGTGTATTCCAATTCCTGACCTAGTCATTGGAGAGAAATTAAATTGAGCGGAGGCACTCGGTGGCACCAGCCTGGCTGAATTAGTTTGCCCTCACGGTTACTTCGTATTCAGAACGTGGCGGCTTGTGCGTTAACTAGCTCCAAAGTTTTTTCTAGCACTGCAACAAGTTCATAAGCGCTTTTCACAACAAAAGCCGGAGTGGAGTTTTGCTGCCGCGATAATGTTAACAACAACTAGCATGCTAACAGCGCACTAGTTTGTGGACAATAAAAACGCTTTATAATAAGATTCAGACAGTCACAGCCGTCTTGTTTTGACACGAAGCGCTTCTTTTGTTGTGTACTGCAGCAAAAGAAAGGTTACTTCAGCACATGAAAAGATTGATAGAGCCCCTTTAAGAGATTTAGACTGAGTATTTTCCATATCGTCAATGAAAATGCACAAACTTAACGTATATAACTATAAGAATATATGAAGGCATATCCGTGAATATATAGTAAGTACCATCAGAAATGCACAGGATTTCAGCGTAGTATGTTCCATTGACCAGCAGGGTTGACTCTCTATCAGGAAGTTTGTTGAGTTTGATCTCAGCCGTCTCTGAATCGATGACGAGCCAGTTCCCGGTGTCTGTGCCTTTGACGTACCTAAAGATCACATGTGTTATTACAAAAGCAAATTTCCTGTTACCTCCTATTATATTATATTATATTATAATGACTTTAGGCCTGCCATGATAATTACTATATTAAGTTATCATTCACTAGATGAAAACAGGAACAATATATTTTGGTGCAAAATTTTCATCGTGTGTACAGTTTCTCAGCTCATGCCTTTTTAACGACACTACCTATTAAAGTAAGTAAGAAGTAAGTAAGTAAGTAAATACTGGGATTATGCTGAGATTATTGAGATTATCGCTTCACTGTTATTGTGTCAAAAGGCATAAAGTAGTTTCAGTATCATTATCGCAGTATATCTATGTATTAATATTAGAACATCGGGCTTCAAAATGTCTTACTGTGACAGGCCTAAATTACTTGTACTAGTGCATACCTGACATTCTTGGCTGGTTTGCCCGTATCCTGGTCTATGGCCGGGTAGTGACCGATGGTGTCCATTACTTTGATGGTGGTGTCTCCCTCTGAAATGGGGATGGCTTTGACTTTGGGTTCGAAGCGTGGTCCCTCTGGCTCGTTCTCCACGGCTACTTTCACTGTGTACATGTTATAAATCTGCTCCAACCCACTAAAACTGCTGGCTCCAGTGGCTCCATTGTCTACAGTGCCTCCAGTGCCTCCAGTGCCCTCAGTGCCTCCAGTGCCTCCAATGCCCCCAGTGCCTCCAGTGCCTCCAATGCCCCCAGTGCCTCCAGTGCCTCCATCAATGCCAGCTGTCCCAGTAGACGTTAATTCTCCACCTACATCAATGTTTGTGAATCCCACTGAGTCGTCGAACAAAGGAGCTTTGTTTTTTAAAATTACACCAAGATCAAGGTTTTTTATGTCTTCATAGTCAACAGCCTGCAGGGTAAAAAAAAACAAACAAAAACATTAAATAAAGTTTGTTCTTCTGCTCAAAAACAACAAAAAAATCATGCAAATTCTTCCAGTTTTAAATTATGGTATGCAATTGCTGCTGCGCTTGCGACACGGCCCCAGAGAAGTGCAAGAAAATGGATGGATGGGTATGCATTTTCATAAATAATAGTATGGCATTTCAGCAATTAAGTAGACAACAGGTCTCAGAAAAGTAAAAAAGACAAGATATACCACAAAAAATGTAAATATATGTTGTCTCTTCTGTTGAAATAGTACACGCAAATAGAACTTTATAATTCTAAGATGACAATTATTTTAGTTTTAACCAATTCAAAAGTACCAAACCATCATTTTGTTTAAAATGTTTTCTATTTAGGCCATATGTTTGTAACTTTACCACAGCATCTATACAACACTGTTTCATCAGGCTCCATATTTTTGCTGCATTAGCCGTACCTTTTCGAGAAACAGAATTCCTTCATTGGTCTTTGGGTCGGTCTTGATGCTGAAGTACCCAGCCTCGTTTCCTCTGGCTATTATATACTCTGTCTCCCAGTTTGCCGTTTTCACCAAATCCCGATCCTCTGCTTTGAATCTCATCACCTCCACTCCATATGTGTTCTCCTTAATTTTGGCCGAAAACTGTCAAGACAAAATAAATATGTTAAATCATATTAAACGCATTAGAAAAATAGAATGAAAAATAAAATACCTCAGATTGCGACAGAGTAGGTAGGTTGTCATTGACGTCTTTGATATTAATTGTAATCGTGCCAGTTCCGGTATTGCCTCTTGGGTCGCCATTTCGATCTACAGCTTTCACTGTCAGGACGTAACGATCCGTGGTCTAAAAGAAACATACGCGTTTGTGAAATGCTGTCACTAAGAAAGCAGAGGATGCAGATGGAGCAGAGGATGCGTGTAATATTTTACCTCTCTGTCAAGGTCGTTCTTCACATAGATTGTCCCGTCTGACTTCATGTAGAACGTATCGTCTGCTGGCTCCTGTCTCACGAGGCTGTAGCTCATCTGAGAGTTTGGGTTTCCTGGTTCGTCCAGATCTGTGGCTTTCACGGTTATCACACTAGTGCCTGCAAACAAGACAATGAAGGCACATGTAGTTAGAGTTGTTCTCTTTAACTTCTACATATTAGCGCTTTTCATCAACTCTCTTTGCGTCTATGTTATTAGGTTCTTCTTTCAGACCAAGAGTTTGTTTTCATACCTGACAGTTTGCAGTCTGACTTCCTCACGACAGTATCCCAGGTGTGTGTTTTTTACTCTCACACACCTGGGATACTGTCCTGAGGAAGTCAGACTACAGATGGCGCTGTCGTCCTGCCTCCACTGGTAGGAAGACAGCGCCAAAACCTGTATAAATCAGCTGACCGGAAATGTCACAGTAACATCACATGACCACTCTGAAGAAGACCTCTAGTGAGCAGTCGAAACTGTCAGGTATGAAAACAAACTCTTGGTCTGAAAAAAGAACCTAATAACATAAATTATCAGAAGACCAAATAAATCTCATTGGTCTCTTTGTGTCTCTTCACCATCACCCGCCCCTCGCCCTTTCATTTCTTGGTTTACCTAGTGATAATCCAGAACTGTACTGATAACCAACTTTAAAGGTCCTACATTACGCAAAATTCACTCTTGTGAGCTTTAAGCCAGGTTAGGTTTTTATTTATTTGATCTCCATTAGACTCCAGAATACTTTTATCACCTCAAAATGTATTATTATTATCCCCGTAGGGAAACACGTCCTCTGCTTTTGACCCACCCTTCAGTGTGTCACTGGAGCTACTCTGATTAAAACTGTTTAAACAATCTTACGCCATCTGCTGGTGTTTCTACCAGGGTGCACAAAAAACATGCCTTAAAATCACAACTCTAGACACTAAAATTTCATATAGTTTCTTTAAAACTTCCATGTGGTCATATAATAGTTTTGATATAGATCTAGACCATCCTAAATTATTCAGGAAAGGTCTAATGCTGTCCTCTTTTTGTACTTATTTTTACTATTTCAAAAGGATAGTTTTGATATAAGGCATTGATTAGTATAGGACTTTTTTTTACAATTCTACTCTGCACATTAATATAAAATACATAAATAAAGTCTTAAAACGTGCTTAAAAATGCACAGTATAAAGGTAAACAGTGGCAGTAGGAGACCATCACCTGTCGGACAGCGCCATCTGCTGGTGCTTCTTACAGGCTACACAAACAACAGGCCTTAAAATCACAACTCGAGTGTTACTTAGACACTAAAATTTCATATGGTTTCTTTAAAACTCCCATGTGGTCATATACTAGTTTTGATATAGACCCAAACCATCCTAAACTATTCAGGAAAAGGTCTAATGCTGTCCTCTTTTTGCACTTTTTTACTATATCAAAAGGATAGTTTTGATATAGGGTATCGATTAGTACCACTTTTTTTTTTTTTTTTCAGTTCTACCATGCACATAAGTTTAAATACATAAATAAAGTCTTAAAACGTCCTTAATAATGCACAATATAAAGGTAAACAGTTGCAGTAAAAGACCATCACCTGTTGGACTGCGCCATCTGCTGGTGATTCTTAGAGGCTACACAAACAATAGGTCTTAAAATTACAGCACTAGTTACTTTGACACTAAAATGTCATATAGTTCCTTTAATAATACTAGTTTTAATATAGATCCAGCCCATCCTACACTATTCAGGAAAGGTTTAATGCTGTCCTATTTCTGTAATTTTTTACTTGTTCAAATGATAGCTCTTGTTGATTTTGATTTTTACTGTTTTTTTTTTACATTTCCACCATGCATATTAATTTAAATGACACGCACAAAGTCTTAATGCTTCCTTAATAATGCACAATATAAATGTAAACAGTAGCAGTAGGAGACCCTCACCTGCCGGACTGCGCTCGTACACCGCTCCAGGTTTCATGTCTCTTGGGAAAACGGGAGAGTTGTCGTTCTCGTCCACTACTTTGACCCGGATGTCAATTTTGTTTTCCGCTTTGCTCCCATTAATAAAAGTAGCAATCCCAGAGAGCTGGAAACACAAACCACAAACATATAATGAACACGATGAGCATCATTAAGAAGTTACATAGAATACTTTTTTTTACTACTTCTTATACTTTAACTTTAAGTATAAATATCAGTGTAGGGACTGAAAATTACATTTATTTCCTTAAAACACAGTGAATTTATTACACAAGAGTTCCAACTGTGTTATGTAACTGTTGTTTATCTTTCAAACCACTAGTGAACAGTTTTGTATGAATAAAAGTTCATTATGAGGCCAAAATCAGCCAGTAAATAGTCTTATTACTACCAAGATATTTTTATGACTTATTTTATATTTTCTTTTAACTTGTACATATACATTTATAGAATTATGCCTTACTGACTGCTGTCTCTTGCTATATTTTTTGCAACTTATTTATAATTTATTAGTACTATTCATATTTTTTACCCTTTTTATATTATAATATATTGTGATGTGTGAGCTGCTGGGTCCAAATAATTTCCCTTGCGGACAATAAAGTTTATCTAACATAAATTATCTAGCAATAAAGTTTATCTAAGGCTATGTTCAGACTGTAGGGCTTAATGCACAATTCGGATTTTTTTTGTGAAATCCGTTTTTTGTTTTTTTTGCGAGATCGTTTTCATTTCCAGTTAAATGCGACTTGTATGTGATCTCCAGTGTGAACTTTAAATGCCCCAAAATTGTCTCGCATGCATATTGGAGGACACGACAACGTCACACACAGCGAGCGTGCTCAGTGTTTACGGAAGTCGCCTAAACACTGGGCTTGTCTTCCAAAATACGGTCCAGTTCTTGGTAAAATGGACAGGTTACACGTTCACAGCCATGTCGTTTGTTGAGTCTTTAGTCTCTTTGTATTTGTCTCGTAGGCTCTTTATTTTTTGTTGATATTGGAGCCAGAACCATCTGTAGCCGTGCTTGGACATTTCTTTGGCAATCATTTCAAAAAACGCCCGGTTCCGATAAGACCCCTCCAATTTGACCTGAATACAGTGATCCCCCCAAATATTAATTAACTCGCTAATCTCGCTTTCCCTCCATTGACGAGACTCCGAGCCTGACATGTAGATGGGATGAATGTCGCATGTCAAAAGACCGGATATGTATCGGTTTTAGGAGCACATATCCAAGTGGCCTGAGTTGCATTTGAAAATATTGGATCTGTGTTGTTCAGACTATCATTAAAAGATCAAATCCAGGTCGCATAGGGGCGAAAACAATCAGATTTGGCTCACTTCAGGCTGCAGTCTGAACGTAGCCTTAGTCTAAGTCTAAATAAAGGCTCATCAGTGCATCCCTATACTTATTTTTAATATTCCTTACATTGTAGGTGTCTATGTACTCTCTGTCCAGGATTCTTGTTACTCTGATGAACCCGGTTCTGGAATCGACGACGAAAACATTGTACGGGTCCTGGTCTGCTCCTCTTCCCTTCAGAGTGTAAATGATGTCCTTGTGTTCTTCAAAATCTGAGCGGATCTGAAACATCATGAAGAGGGTTATGAGTAAAATAAATACCTTTACATTTAGAATATTGGGGTTAACACAATAATGGCGTACCTGTAATCAAGTTTTATATTATGCTATTTCCTACTCTTCTCATCAAAAATGTGTGTAGAGTTTTGTTTTGTTTCATTCACACATGTGTAACGTACAAATCCTGCAAATTTTAACTCCTTACACCTTCAGTAGAGTCATCTGGATTATTTCTGCCCTAAAATTACCCCTCACTACAGAAGAAAATGCAAAAAAAAGTAGCTGTGAACTTGAAAAGTGAAGCTTCATGACATCATAAGGTGGAACAGAGCAATTTGAGCTTTGAAGATGTAGACAGACTAATAATAGAGGATTACTCAGACATGTGTGAATGAAACAAAACTCCAGGTCTGTTTTTGATGAGGTAACTACATTCCAACATGGATTATCACTCACAAGAGCAACCTTTACAAAATACAGGACCATTAAACAGGAGTGGTTTAGTCCGGGTTTAGTCCTAGATTAGACCTGGTTTAATCCTAGATCAGTACTAGTTTAGTCCTGTTTTAGTCCTGCTTTAGTCCTGGTTTAATCCTGTTTTAGTCCTGGTTAAGTTTTGTTTTAATCCTGTTTTAGTCCTGATTTAGTCCTGATTTAGTCTAGGTTTAGTCCTGGTTCAGTCCTGGTTTAGACCTGGTTTAGTTCTGCTTTAGTCCTGGTTTAGTCCTGGTTTAGTCCTGTTTTAGTCCTGGTTTAGTTCTGGTTTAGTCCTGGCTTAATCCTGTTTTAGTCCTGGTTAAGACCTGGTTTAGTCCTGTTTTGGCCTGGTTTAGTCCTGTTTTAGTCCTGGTTTAGTCCTGGCTTAATCCTGTTTTAGTCCTGGATCAGTCCTGGTTCAGTCCTGGTTTACGTCACGAATTGTGTACCCTCACCCTCAAAAATCCCCGTTACACCACTGCCTTTAAAGATGCACTACGTAACTTTTCTGGTCTAGAGTATATTCTGATCGTGATTATATTAGTTGCATTTTTGCACTATTTAAGAATGAATTCAGAAAAATGCCATGTCTTCTCACTTTTGCGATGAACTCCTTTTTTGTGTAGTCCTCGTTTTCTTTCAAAGGTCTTGGAGGAAGGATCCACTCTCTTCTTTTTCTCACCAGGGATTTACAAAAAGCAACAGAACCAACCTGAAAACACACATCAAAAAGAAATTAGTAGAGCATCTGTAAGTCTAGTAAGTATGTGAATCCTATGTTTATGATTCTCTAATTTTGACTCAATTTTGTCAAGATACATTATAGTTTTACACCAATCAAGAAGCAATTTGTGAAGAAAAGTTGGAAAATAAGTTGAAAATAACAGGAAATTGAGTTCAAAATACTGATCACATCACACTAGCGAGACTTCTATCCCAAAGGTCAGCAAATTTTACAAGTAAGAAATACAATTTTTCTGATACTTTAAACATGAATTCAACAAATTAAAGGTGTTTTCTTATATTTATATTTGTCAGATAATCATTTCTGTGTACATTAGAGGAGTTTTACTAGGAAACAGTTGGAATTCTCTGTGTGTAAGTAAAATTTTAAACCTCAAAAATGGTAAAATTGGGAAAACAAGTGTGAATATTCTTGCAAAAATCTGAAATATATTGATCTTAACTGTGTTTTAGTAAAATAAGTAGTCCAACCTGACATATTAACAGGCACAATAATAAACACAACAGCATAAAGTGAGTGAGGAATAACTTTGGACCACTGCAAACATTTTTTTAAGAGTAAAAATCAGGTACAATGCCTTTCTTTATCAAATCATAATAATTAATAGTTAACAAATTATCTTTTAAATTCACTTTATAGCTTTCTGGACATCGCATACATTCTAAAACGTGTATTTGCTCGTTTATTTGGCCACGTATCTCGAGTTGCCGACTGAAAACTCCATATCATTCGTCGCACGCACATGAACAAACTTGAGTTAATTTTATGGCGTCGTTTTATTGAGAATTGGCAGGAGATTTGATAAATAATGGCACTGCCTTCGGGCCCCCCTTCAAGGTTGAGCATGACGCCTTTTATTGTTCTATATTGTCTAGTTTGCAGGGTTTTTTTGTAGTCTAACTAATATTACTGATGAGATTCAAGTTGGTTATTAATTTATTGTAATTAATCATAGTCATAATCATAACTATAGCATGTGGTATTCAATAAAACGCTTGAATTTGTTGCTTATCGTCTTTAAAATATGTGATTCCCGGTTGAGACTTGACTTTTATCCGAGCTATCCATACTTTAAAACAAAGGTGGAAGACAGGTCAGATTTCTGTGGTGTAATTTGCTGTTTAAAGGTGCACTGTGTAACTTTTCTGATGGAGATGTAATTGCTTTGTCTGGAATGTTTAGCAGTACAGCATTAAACCTTTCTATCTTCACGGAGACCAAAACTGACCAAGTTACAGGTCAGAAAGGCTGGGTAAAAATTAAAGCTTAATAAAGACAAACCCAAGACCAACCTGAGTTTCATGTTGGCCTTTTTGTCCATTTTATTTCCAAAAATAGAACATGTCTCTAAAATAAAATCTTTGTTATTTTCTTGCGATACAGATTATTGCGTCAGTCAATGTTGCGATATCGATATTTTTTGTCCAGTTTTGTCTTAATATCAAGTATTAATTAACTTTTCATTTGCATTTGTTGTAAATTATAGATTTGTTGGTTTATTATTTTACTGTATTTTGGCAAAACTGGGCTGTTTTACCTCTGAACAGGCCCGTCGACAGAATTTTGGGGGCCCTGGGCACGAAGTCTCACATGGGCCCCCCTCGAATATTAATTAAAAAGAAGAGGGTCCAATTCTGGGGCCCGGTGTGAGATAGTATTTTGACCCCCATAGTATAGTGACATACCGCTATAGTAAAGTGACCCCCCCCTCATAGGATTTTGACTCCCCTTACTTTTGTCTTTAGTAGTTACTTATATGATCATTATTTCTCATGTAATTTACTTTTATTATATACTGCTACATGTTCACTTTCTTTTAAGGTATTTTAAGGAATGTTTTGATGGATAATGACTTTGTATTTAGTGTAAATTTTGTGTAACGTTATTGTTAAAACTTTGCATATACATAGCAATCTTGTCACTTTTTATATTGTATTTTACATTGTTACGGTTTTTAGTTTACTATGTTCAGATAATCCTTAATCATAATGTCAATTTAGGCAATGGTTTGTAAGAATAACGACCTTGAATTTAGTAATATAGAATTTTGACCTCCTTTATATATAATAGATCATTGTCAATATTTACCTAACATTACTTCTTACTTTACATTATAATAACTATAATAAACATATTGGGGGGTTAAATATGTCAGTATGTTTTAATTTGCAGATATAGTATTAATATTCAAAGTTTTTCTATAGAATTCAAGTTCTTTATTAATAAAATATAGACTTTCATAATGGGGTCAATATTCTATGGGGGGTCAACACACTATAATAGGATTCTCACCTCACCACGGGGTCAAAATGTTGTACCACACCGGGAGAACACACCCCTTTGCCCTCTGAACTTGGCTAAAAGTTGCAACGTAAATTTCCCAAGAATGTTTAAGACGAAGTTTAATTACTGCATAATCGACTGATCCTGTACGTGACTTGAAATGTTCTCAGGTCGTCGGTAATGATAGTCTTTGTGTGAGCAGGCTCTGTCTCTGCACAAGGTGAAGTATGCATCCAAGTATGTGCACAATGTTTACGTAAGATGTTTTGATTGAATAATAAAAGCCCAATAAGGGTGTGTGCATTAACTGATTTTACTATTAAATAATAGCGCATTGTCAATTTGTGGATTAGGCTTTTAATTGAAAAACTTTTGAGGAACAATATCTGATTTCAATATGGCAACATTAAGAGACCAAATTCTGTAAATCTTGAATTATTATTATTTTCTATCGATTTATTCCCTCAGATTACGACAAACCACAAACAAAATGCAAATATATTAGAAGAACAGTCTAAGATGTCTTATTTTTTCCATTATTACTCCACAATTCCTAGAAAACAAAACTTCCCAGCTATATTGTAACACATAATCACAATTTTTTTACTCAAAAACAACAAAATATTAAAAAAGCCTGTTCAAAATTTTTTGCTGCGGAAGTTAAAAACAAGATTTAGACTTTTTTTTTCTAAGTATTTGAGCATAATGTGTCTTTCCCCGGCACAGATACATAGTACAAGCAGCTCTTGAGGTCAAAATAAGTCTGCTGTGTACTGTCTTCATCCAATTATAAAGTGTGTTATTGTCCGAGTATCAGGAAGTGCTCTGTTAGCATTCTAGCAGTTGCTTAGTGTGACAACAAAACTTCATTCTGGTCTCTGAAAGCTGCGAAAAGTGCTTATAAACTCATCACGGCGAATAATTACAAGGCTCTGAATGCATACGGTAAGCGAGTTCTCTTTTTCATGTTTTTAAGACGGTAAAAATCAGGTACATCGCCTTGAAACAAAATTAAAAATTACCCCGTTTTCTCTTCCAAACCCTAATAATTAACAGTTAACAAATTATCTTTTTAATTCACTTTTTAGCTTTCTCATTGCATACATTCGAAAACGTGTATTTGCTCGCTTCTGTGGCCGCGTATCTCGAGGTGCCGACGGAAAACTCTATATCATTCGCCGCACGCACATGAACAAACTTGAGTTAATTTTATGGTGTCGTTTTATAGAGAACTGGCAGGAGATTTGATAAATAATGGCACTACCTTCGGGGCTTCCTTTCAAGGTTGGACATTTTAGCGAAGTCTTTTATTGCTCTATATTGCCTGGTTTGTTTTTTCTGTCATCTAACCAATATTACAGATAAGATTCATGTCAATTATTCATTTATTTTAATTAATCATAGTCATAATCATAACCATAGTATGTGGTATTTGAATTTGTTGCTTTATCGTCTTTAAAATATGTGATTCCCAGTTGAGACTCGACTTCTATCCGGACTCTATCCATAGTTTAAAACAGAGGTGGAAGAACAGGTCAGCATTCTGTGGTGGATTTACTGTTTAAAGGTGCATTGTGTAACTTTTCTGATGGGGGGTCTGTCAAATGCTTTTCTCCATGGAGATGTTATTTCATTAGAACTCAGCTCACAGTCAGAATGTTGTTTTCCTTGGTATTTTTGAGCTCTAAAACCACCTGTAATTAAATAAATGTAAGGTAGAGCTGTTTAATGCCATACTGTGGAACATTCCAGGCAGAGCACCGACATATCCATAGAAACAAACAGGTGACGGACCCACAACCTAAAAGTTACATAGCGCACCTTTATCTGTCAGACTGCAGATTTCTTAGATTAGTTTGCGGTTAGTATCTCTGTAATTACTAGGTAATTTCCGAAACAAAAACTGGTATAACGTTTTTGTTAGGCCGAGCCCGACTGGGCGTAGGGCCTATTGCTTCCGCTCAGCGGAGCGAATGGGAAGGGACGTGCGCATGTCCGAATGTGACAAGACGACATGCAACTATGTCCACGGTCGCCCCCGGCACGAACAGCTGTATCCCAGTAACCCACGCCCAAGGCCTGGCTCATATTTACTACTGCTAAAATGAATGGAAGTCAATGGAAGGCGATGGGTGACCTCGACGAGATGGCGAATGACGAGCGCGTCAGTGCCCGTCACTCACCAATGACCCCACGGTGACGTGGGGAAGGTCGAGAGCTTTCAAAAAACGTATAATATGTTGTTCTAAAGTTTTCGGATATATTGTTTTTGCTCGAATTATTATTAGGCCCGAGCCCCGACTGGGCGTAGGGCCTATTGCTTCCGCTCAGCGGAGCGAATGGGGAGCGACGTGCGCATGTCCGAATGTGACAAGACGACATGCAACTATGTCCACGGTCGCCCCCGGCACGAACAGCAGTATCCCAGTAACCCACACCCAAGGCCTGGCTCATATTTACTACTGCTAAAATGAATGGAAGTCAATGGGAGGTCAGGGGGTGACCCCAGCGAGATGGTCCAGACGCGCCCGTCACTCACCAATGACCCCACGGTGACGTGGGGAAGGTCGAGAGCTTTCAAAAAACGTATAATATGTTGTTCTAATGTTTTCGGATATATTGTTTTTGCTCGAATTATTATTATTTTTTTTTTTATTTTTATTTCTTCTGCTCTTTGAGCTCTAATTTGACCCCCTAAACACGTTCAAAAACTCACCAAACTTGGCAACATATTCAGAAGTGGCGAAAAATTCGATAAAATATAGGTTTCGTGCACGGGCATAAAAAAATGGCGACACAGCGCCACCTGGAAAATGCAAAAATTTCGCGCCTATGGGAGATGTCCCGGTCAACTTTGTCGTAGAGCCACGAAATTCGGTACACACATTCGTCATGTCAAGACAAACAAAAAATATTATTATGGCCACGCCCCCTGACACACCAGAAGGCGGCCATCTTGGATTGAAATTTGAGTCCACGTTTTCGCTGACGTTGCATTTGAACGAACTCCTCTGAAGGTGCTTCACCCACAGGCCTGAAAATCACCGTACATCATCTAGACAAGTGGAACATCTAAAGTTAGCTGATTTTTTTTGATAACTGTCACGGTTTACGTGCGGCGAGGCCGCAAAATTTGGTCAAAATTTCACCTAATTTCAAGGTGACATTATTTGCTCCTGTTCGCACAGACTTAGTCCGATTGTGCTGAAATTTGAATCACTAATGTGTGATCTCAGTCTGAATATAATACACTATAAAACATATGAAAAAACACTATAGCGCCCCCTACCATAGACATGAAACATCAACATTGTTGGATCTGCACCAAATTTGGGAATTAAATTCTATTAATGACTAGAAGAAAAAACATATATTGCTGACATGGGAATTTGTTCAAGGTTGGCCAGTAGGGGGTGCAAAGAACATCTAAAGGCGTACTGTGTCATTTTGCCATTTGCAGGCACAGAGTTTGCGGACACAGCGTTTACGGTATGGTGTTGGCGCGGGCACAGTATTTGCGGGCACGGCGTTCGCGGGCGCGGCGTCCGTGGGCACGGCGTTCGCGGGCGCGGCGGGCGAGGGCCGTTCGACGCCGCTTGCGGCTTTAATTATTATTATTATTTTTTTTTTTTTTATTTCTTCTGCTCTTTGAGCTCTAATTTGACCCCCTAAACACGTTCAAAAACTCACCAAACTTGGCAACATATTCAGAAGTGGCGAAAAATTCGATAAAATATAGGTTTCGTGCACGGGCATAAAAAAATGGCGACAGAGCGCCACCTGGAAAACGCAAAAATTTCGCGCCTATGGGAGATGTCCCGGTCAACTTTGTCGTAGAGCCACGAAATTCGGTACACACATTCATCATGTCAAGACAAACAAAAAATATTATTATGGCCACGCCCCCTGACACACCAGAAGGCGGCCATTTTGGATTGAAATTTGAGTCCGCGTTTTCGCTGACGTTGCGTTTGAACGAACTCCTCTGAAGGCGCTTCACCCACAGGGCTGAAAATCACCGTACATCATCTAGACAAGTGGAACATCTAAAGTTAGCTGATTTTTTTTGATAACTGTCACGGTTTACGTGCGGCGAAGCTGCAAAATTTGGTCAAAATTTCACCTAATTTCAAGGTGACATTATTTGCTCCTGTTCGCACAGACTTAGTCCGATTGTGCTGAAATTTGAATCACTAATGTGTGATCTCAGTCTGAATATAATACACTATAAAACATATGAAAAGTGAACACTATAGCGCCCCCTACCATAGACATGAAATGTCAACATTGTCGGATCTGCACCAAATTTGGCAATTAAATTCTATATATGATTACGAGTAAAAAAGTATATTATGGCCATGTTAAAATTTTCACTGTTGGCCAGCAGGGGCGCAAAGACTCAACAATTTTGCGCCTATGGGAGACGTCCCGGTCAACTTTGTCGTAGAGCCATGAAATTCGGTACACACATTCATCATGTGAAGACAAACAAAAAATTTTATTATGGCCACGCCCCCTGACAAACCAGAAGGCGGCCATCTTGGATTGAAATTTCAGTCCGCATTTTCTCTGACATTGCATTTGAACGAACTCCTCTGAAGGCACTTCACCCACAGGGCTGAAAATCACCGTACATCATCTAGAGAAGTGGAACATCTAAAGTTAGCTGATTTTTTTTGATAACTGTCACGGTTTACGCGCGGCGAAGCCACAAATTTCGATCAAAATTTTGCCTAATTTCAAGGTGACATTATTTGCTCCTGTTCGCACAGACTTAGTCCGATTGTGCTGAAATTTGAATCACTAATGTGTGATCTCAGTCTGAATATAATACACTATAAAACATATGAAAAGTGAACACTATAGCGCCCCCTACCATAGACATGAAAAGTCAACATTGTCGGATCTGCACCAAATTTGGGAATTACATTTTATGCATGATTACGAGTAAAAAAGTATATTATGGACATGGGGAATTTTTCACTGTTGGCCAGCAGGGGCGCAAACACTCTAAAATTTGGCGTCTATGGGAGACGTCCCAGGTCAACTTTGTCGTAGAGCCACGAAATTCGGTACACACATTCGTCATGTCAAGACAAACAAAAAAATGTATTATGGCCACGCAACCTGATAAACCAGAAGGCGGCCATCTTGGATTGAAGTTTCAGTCCACATTTTCTTTCACATTGCGTTTGAACGAACTCCTCTGAAGGCGCTTCACCCACAGGGCTGAAAATCACCGTACATCATCTAGACAAGTGGAACATCTAAAGTTAGCTGATTTTTTTGATAACTGTCACGGTTTACGTGCGGCGAAGCTGCAAAATTTGGTCAAAGTTTTGGCGAATTTCAAGGTGACATTATTTGCTCCTGTTCGCACATACTTAGTCCGATCGTGTTGAAATTTGAATCACTAATGTCTGATCTCAGTCTTAATATAATACACTATAAAACATATGAAAAAACACTATAGCGCCCCCTACCATAGACATGAAACTTCAACAATGTCGGATCTGCACCAAATTTGGGAATTAAATTCTATTAATGACTAGAAGAAAAAACATATATTGCTGACATGGGAATTTGTTCAAGGTTGGCCAGTAGGAAGTGCAAGGAACATCTAAAGGCGCACTATGTCATTTTGCCATTTGCAGGCACAGAGTTTGCGGACACGGCGTTTACGGTATGGTGTTGGCGGGGCACACTATTTGCGGGCACGGCGTTCGCGGGCGCGGCGTTCGCGGGCGCGGCAGGCGAGGGCCGTTCGACGCCGCTTGCGGCTTTAATTTTGTTTTGTTTTTCTATCAGGACAAAAGAACTAAGATGAAATCAAATCACAAAGGCAGTATGACGTATTTTAAAGGACTTAAACTTTCAGGCTCAATGTTAATACTAGAAACTGATATATTGGACCCATATTTGCACTTTGTTCTAAAAAAACCCCAAACTTATTTTAACACTTAAAAGGTGCACTATGTAACTTTCTGGTTAGGGATCTGTCACCTGCTTGTTTCTCCGGATATGCCACTGCCCTGCCTTACATTTATTAAATTACAGGTGTTTTTATAGCTCAAAAAAACAAGCATTCTGTCTGTGAGCGGGGTCGTCTCTCCACAGATTTGACCTGTAACTTGGGCTGGTTTGATTTCCTTGAAGACACAAAGGTTTTATACCATACTGTGAAAGATTCCAGACAAATCAATAACATTTGACCAGACCCCCCACCAGAAAAGTTGCGCAATACACCTTTAAGTAAGATGATGGCACAAAATGTAGCCTAGTCTTTTTACAAGTGGGTTAAGAGGTTCATCTCATCTACTACAGTAACAGACTGTAATTTAGGCCAAAAGTATAGAAATACTATCAGTAGAAGTAGCCTACCTACACAGTATCAATAAATAACAATTAATAGCCCAACAGTGTTCCATTTCATACAGCCAACTCGGAACACAAAAATATACCCAAATATTTCCATGTTTACTTTTGATATACTATTTTTGCATTCGACTACTATTACACTGTACTACTACTACTACTACTACTACTACTACTACTACTTCTACTCAATTTGTTGACATTCTAGTTTAGCGTGTGTGAAATATAGGGCATTGGAAATTACGGAAAACTATACAGTAAAGCTTGTTTATAATGTTAAAATTAGTAGTGGAAAATGATCACGTAGTCTGGTTACTCTTACTTTCCCTTATGGCTCTGTTTACATCTAATTAATTAAAATAAATGAATAATTGATATGATATTGCTATAGAAAAAAAAAAAAGGTATTAGCCAAACATACTAAAGGCTACTAAAATACACGTAGCCTATTTTCGTTACAGTTTGTTTTTTGTTTTTTTACACAAAACCTGTATTAAATGTGGCTAGAGTAAAAAAAAAAAAAAAATCTATATATATATATATATTATCTAGCAAATCTTCCTTTCACTTTAGCTTTGTTTACGACAAATTGATCGCAATCGGTGAATAATTTAATTGTCCGTAACTGAAGATCCTACCAATATGTAACCAAACAATATAGGAATAAAGCGCATGGCACATATTAGCTAAACGTAAGCAGTTGATTCAAATAAATAAAAAAATGACACTTACGATCGTTATCAGTAGCAGGACAAAGTGAGGTGAAAAAATGCGAACCATCGTTGAAAAATAAAAAAAAAAATTAAAAAAATCTTATAGTCCGTGTAAAGTGATACGGTCCTTTTGTGTTTCCGGACTGAACTAAGCTCTGGACACACACGGGCCCCTTTTATAAAGAGGAGAGAAAGGCTCGCGCGCGTCACGTATCTCTACGTACACCTGCACAGCGCGCCCCTCCCTTCTTTCCCTCGCGACGTAACTTACGCAGCCTGAGGGCACGAGACAGAAAATACGAGAAAGGAGGAAGTACAGCTCGCGATCAAAGGTCTTTTTGTCAGTGTGATAGTGACAGTATTTTTATTTATTTTATTTTATTTATTTATTTATTTTTTTATGTTATATGCTCAAAAATGTTAATTATTTCCACAAAAACATACCTAAAGTTGAGTGTGTTTTTTTTTTGTGTGGGTTTTTTTGTATTCATACATGTTCAACACACAAAACCAGCATATTTAAGATGAGTTAAAACATTTCTACTAGCTACAAAACTAAATGTAAAAGGTGACTACTTGAAAACTATCACTACGTGACATCAGAAGATGGGACAGAGCCTTTTGAGATTTGGAGAGGTAAACAGTATAATGCAGAATTATTCAAACATGTGTGAATGAAACAAAACACAACTCCAGGTATGTTTTTGAGGAGATAACAACATTATCACGACCACCATGTTCCTGTTGTTATTACAGTTGTTAATACAGTTTTAGTGCGTATGAGGTTTTGCTGATTCTCAATGTTTTACTTAATTTGGTGGGATAATATCTGCTGTGAATATAAATTATGGTTTTACAACAATATAGAGCAATTTGTGAAGAAAAGTTGAAAAAGAGAGTCCCATATTGATGCCATCATACTAAGGAGAATTGTATGCAAAAGTTTAACATAATTTACACACAGGAAACCCCCTTTTTCAACACAAAAAAGGTGTTTTTTTTATATTATTATGGTTAAATTCAAAGACTGTATAAAGAAATGGACTAAGCAAGTGTGTCGTCACCCATAGGGTTCGGCTCCAGGTTTCATATTAGGAACAGTTTTTTTTAACAGACAAAATAGTGAAAAAGATAAAACAAAGAACAAACAACAAAACACCAGAATCATGTAGAGCGAGTTAATACAAACATTTTAAGACCAAAAGGACAAGGTTCGTTTCAGCAGTCAGAGAGAGAGGGGCGACAGTATTCCAGTATAAGTCAATGGGAACCAGAGTCATAAATAGGGAGTGCGTATGGGGGCACTTCTAGCTCCTTCTGACCCTGCCTCCCATTGACTTACATTAGAATATTGAAGCGCCTCTCTCTCTGATTACTGTAGTGAGTCTCTTAAAATGTTTGTATTAACCTGTCTTGGTGTTTTATTTCGCTGTTTTGTCCGTTAAAAAATTCCAGTACTATGGAACTCCAAATTGCTTCTGCCTCATAAGCGTCTTTGGACCGGAGCCGAAAGCTATGGGTGGTGTCACACTCCCTCAGGCGACTTCTTTATTAATTCTTTGCAGATGTCATGATTTCCAAACACATATTAAATCTTGAAACCTATAACATGGGCAAACTGGAAAAAAATCTTAAACATTATTATGTTAAGTGGGTTTAGGGTTAGAGTTAGGGTGCACGGTTTGTCCTAATAAATCTCACAAATTTGCAAGTAAGACAGTGTGCGGGATTTTTCTCTATGTTTTTGTGCTGCTCCCTCTCCTCCAACGCACCCATCTCTAGTAATTGATGTGCAAAGTGACATCCTTTTACATCCTTTTAAGTGTGTTTAAGTAAAATAAATATCTAACTTGTCACATTATGTTCTTTAAATAACTGGCACTACAGTTGCCTATGTGATCGTGTAGTGACAGTGATGATGGCATTATTTTGGAAAAGAAGGTGCAGGCCTACTTTTTTCTGCGCCTTTAACTTTGTATTTGTTGTTGTGACTCACAATTCAGTACTCAGCCACATCTGGTGAAACACTCACTTGTAAATACTCATTTCAGGGTTTCCACGGTCATGGAAATTGAGGAAAATGTCATTTGTCAGGCCTGGAAAAGTCATAGAATTTTGTAAATTTACTGAAAGTTTTGGAAAAGTCATGGAATTTTAGTATCTCTTTCACACAACTACAGTGTTCTGTTAAGTTATCATTAGGCTGTTCTCATTATTTCCAAACGTATGCGACTTTTGTTTAAAAGAGACGACAATAAATGCACATGACAGTATTTTGAATGTTAAAAACTATAATAACAAACCATAAGGTGAGTGGAAAGGGTTAACATTTCATATTTAGTCTTAAAAGTATGATCAAAGTAAAGTCATGGAAAATTCACTTTAGATCATGAAAAAGTCATGGAAATCTTTGAAATTTTGTCCATGAAAAAGTGTGGAAACCCTGTCTACCAAATTGCACAAAAAACACCACGTCTTTATCAAAGTCACTACATAATAGATAAATAGTTTCCAAAGTTTACTCTAATACTACTTTTTACTCTCATAGTCACTTCAGAACTTCTGCTTATTTACTTATTAGAGTTTTCTTTTAACTCCTGTACCTGTACTTTTGTCATCAGCACAAAACCGTGGTTAAAGTGGGATCATGTCTGGACAAGTGTGAACACAGCAGACAAAAAATGGAAAACACTTGAAGGCTTTTGAAGGCTAAAGCTATAATAACTGTGGTATTAAAGTATAATCCACTTGTATTCATGACTAACATCTTGAATATAAAACCAACACTAAGGGATTACAATAATAAATGCTTTTAAGAGGTCATTAAGAGGAGATTAGAAGAGTGAATAAGTAGAACTGAAATGAAATTGATAAGCCTAATAAAGTGTAATAAATTAGTGTAGTTGAGCTAACATATAAAACAGATTTATGTTTGATGAGCTCTTTAAAGGTCCTTATTACACAAAATTGACTCCTGTGAGCTTCAAGCCATGTAATGTAATACTGGTACGTCCTCAAAAACAAACCGGGAGTTGTGTTTTGTTTCATTCACACATGTTTGAGTAATCCCGCTCAAACTCAAAAGGCTCTGTTCCACCTTGTGATGTCATGAATCAGTAGTTTTCAAGTTAACAGCTCCTCTTACCTTTGGTTCAGTAGACATTGGCAATTCCAAGGCTGAAATCATCCAAATGATTCTAGTGAAGGTGTATAGAGTTTAAAAGCACAGTGGACCACTTCTTATATTGCCACATGACATCACAAGTTGGAACAGAGTGTTTTCATTTTGCGAGAAGAACTAAGCAGGGTTTGTGTGTTAAACATGTGTGAATGAAACAAAACACAACTCCAGGTTTGTTTGTGAGGAGGAAACATTATGACGTGAATCAAAAAATAGTGTACAACAGGCCCTTTAAAACTGTTGGATGAGACAATATTTTGAACTCTTTTTCACACATGCAATGATTGTGTGTGAAAATGGCACAACTCTACTCCAAACATTCTACTGCCGGTGTGTTTGTGTGACGCCAGATGCACAGACAAAAAGACAAAGACACCAAGATGAGAAGTGACCATAGACTGTACAAAGAAGTGGACTAAGTGAGTGTAATGTCACCCAAACTGTTCTGCTCAAGTCAATGAAGCTTGTGGTGCTCGAGGTATATTATGAACAAAATAGTGGAAAAAATACACAAGATCATGTAGAGCGGGTTAATGTGAAGATTTTAAGACCAAAATGACGAGGCTCACAGCAGCAGTTACAGAGAGAGGGGCGACAATATTCCAAAATAATATAGATATACAGATACGGATATAAGGAAGTGTCCACCAGCATCTGACCAGAACTGAAGAAGCAGCTTAGATGAGCTGCGAAACGTCTTCAGCCAAACTAATTTTGTCCAGTCGTCAAATTGAATTTTCTCCTCACCATGGATTCTACCTGGACGACTGAGGGATTCTTCACACATTCCAAAATAGGTCAATGGAAGCAGGGTTGGTAGGAGCCGGAAGCGCCCGTATGCAAACTTCCTATTTGGAACGCGGCGGCTACTGCGTTAGTCATGTCCATTTACATACGCAGTCTAAGGAAGTGACAGATAACGACACTGGAGTTGATAATGCGTTTGATGCTGACATCTACTGAAGACGGCATGATTTACATAATTAATTGTCTTGTTTTTTGATAAAGCATGTTTTTCCCTGTCCCAAGACAAATTTCTCCCACGAGAGACAATAAAGGATTATCTTATCTTTATTTATTTAGGGCTTGCTAGACTGTGTACATTTGAGTATTTATTTATTCAAGTTTAATGGGTTATTGAACGTTGTAACCGATTTATTTCTGTCGCACCACCATGACAAATAACAACAACAACAACAACAAAAGATGATATTTTATTTTTTGTAAGCCTACTCTGAAACCAGCTGAAAGTCTGAGAGTCAGGGCCAAAGATATGGTGTGTTTTTATTGTTTATTACCGCTGGGTATTCATTCGCAGAAACCTGGATATACAGTATCTGTGTAATCCCTCAGTGATCCAGATATATTCCATCGTGGTTCATGGGCTTATGTTAGTCTATGTGCTCAGGAAATGTTCATGTCTTTCCTGCCAATGTTCCTTTGCGACAGTAGCTCAGTTGGTCGAGTGCTCATCTTCTGATCTGAGGGTTGACGGTTTAAATCCTGCTCTCCACATAAACAGTGTGTATGAAAGTATGTGTGAATGGGTGAGTTTATGTAAAGTGTTTGAGTGCCTTGAAGCTGGAAACGCTCTGTATAAAAACGCGACCATTACCATAACCGTACTTTAGTATAGATACAGTATCTGCTCAAATGTTTATCTAGTTTTGAAACCAGTTTTAGTATCTGATTTTGATACTTTTGACAACCCTAAAGCCCCATAGACCTGAATGATACTCGAGTTACTGCGATGTGCTTTAAGTATATGATAAATACGAATGTAACTGAAACTTGTTTACACATAAGTAATGCAGATGTGATGAAAGAGATGGAGCTACACCCTCAGATAATATTTAGTCTTACCTGTCCTACGCCTCTCCTATCAAAATGATTTAATAGCGTTTTATTTTTATAGTTACTTTGATGT